TGATCATTTTGCTCTCTTTTTATAGCTAGTATAGTCGTTTGACTTCTCCCAAATTTCATCATAACATTGATCAAGCTCTTTCCATTATATTACTAACTCATTGTAATAGGTAGTAATATTGCGGTCTTTCTGTTTGGATTTTCATAGTTGTGTTTGTAACTAAAAATTTTGGGAAGAATTCTCCAAGTCAGAAGACAAATCTTGAACGGCCTGTCAGATATCTTTAGCAGTGGGAAGAAAAAGGTGGACTTTTTGGACAACTGGTTTCATGGAATTGATGAGCCAAGGGAGTTTTTGGATTGCCATTTTTTCAAATTAGGGTCACCATCAATAGTTTCAGAATTTCACCAATTAAATGCCCAATTTTTCCTCTTCCGTTGATTGCAATTTTATGGATTGAGCTTACTCGAGATGGTCGTGTCCATTGAGTTTTATAACTGTGAGGTAAGGAGCTGAATTGTGGGGAGTATAATCAAAATATACAATCATGAGGGGTTGTACGGTGAGGCGAAGTGGTTTCAGAAGTATTGAAACCGGTAGAGATGGTAGAATTTTTTTGGACTTCGGCCATCATTACTTATACAACATCATCAGAATCATATGAGTAGTGCAATGTGAATATAAAAAGGATAACTCGTCCGTAATCGTGTTCCCTCGTCCATGCATAGTTGTGTACGTGCAACAACTACCTGGAAGGAAACAAACAAAGTAGTAGCAGGTGTGGGCAATGGAGGCAGCGTTCGATCAAACCAGAATCTTTAATTCCATGCAGATTCTCCTCTCGTAGAAAAGAAAGGTCTCAAGGCTAACTTTCTATTCAGCTTTGTCACTTCCTTTCACTCGTCGATACGTAGGACTCGATTGCGGGAGGGCATTGCAGCGGGACAATAGCGGAGCGATGACAATCGTAGGCAGGACTTGCTAACAAGCAGTCGGAGCGACTTAAGGACTAGCAGTCTTGAATGACGGTCTACTAGAGTTCAATCACGCATGGTTGCGATGGGAAAACAGGAAAAAGTTTTGAGTTTGGTCCTCGACGAGAGATCTTGAGTGGTTTTGGTCGAGATCTCAATAACAAAACCTAGCTTTGATTCAATGAAGGTTTGGGAGGGAAAATTAATTATTTCTCTTCAATTTTATAGGAACGTTTACAAGATAAATAGCGGGGGAGGCTATCACATTAGGAAAGCCACAAAATTCCCGTGTTAACAAAACATGAATCAGAAATTACAACTTACCAATAATATCACATTCCCAAAATAGGAAATAATAAAAAAAGGAAGATACTAATAACTTACGTGGTGCTGTAGCTGGACCGGTCGGTTCAACATATGGGTGCCAGTGCAGCAGTAAGGCTGAACTGGCCAGCTATTTATCGGGGCGGGAATTACCACCCCTTCCCTCCCCCAACTTCCTATTTCACTCCCTTCCAAGAGGAGACTTTTCTTCCTATTCTATTGCTTACATCTTCTATCCCCTTACTATTTCTATTTCTTTCCAATTCCTATTCCTTTCTTCCTTAACTACTAGCAACTATTATATATGTACTCTTTGAGTGCTTTAGGGTTAGTTTATCATTCCAAATTTCAGTTTGCCTCCTTTGTGGCGTTCTTCTCTTTTGAGGGTTGTATCCGATGAGGAGGAGGCTCTCTTCGTTTGAAGTGATTGTCTCTAACGATACGAGAGGTGCTTCGACTGTAACTTGACATTGCGGGATACTTATCCTCCACCAACTACTTCCGTGCTTCACTTTCCTTGCTGCCGCCTGCCATCTAACTCCAAGTCCAGTCATTGTCGGCCACTAAGTTCACCTTTCCTGCTGTTGTTTGTCACCTCCATCAGCTATTCTTCTGCTGCCAGCCCATCCTGCTCCTTCCAGATTGTTGTCCACTCTGTTGGGTGCTATCCCGACCACTGTCGACTTCTTCCGGGTTCCCTCTTCTGGGCTCTGTCCCAATTACCGACGACCACTTCTAGATCGCTGTCCACCGTCCCTTGCACCTCCTAGCAGACCGCCAACCACCTCTTGCCCCTCCAGGACCGTCGTCACCTGCTGCCCGCTATCGACCAGCTCTACAACAACTTCCTTTCTTCCTCTCAGATTGGCCGCCCTCCTCTAGACGGGGTCGTTTCTGCCTTTTATGTTTTCCCTTTTCACTTTGGCAGCGTCATTGTTGCTTATTGTTTGCATGCTTTTGTGTTGTTTTCGGTTGAAGAGTCATTTTGTACTTTCTTTGAAAGTCAGCAATAATGTTTATTGTTTGGTCGTGGTTTGGGTTAACTCCAGTATCAATAACATTTCCTAAAATTTCAACAGACTTCATGTGTTGATGCTCCCTGAATGGTTTATGCTTTCCTTCTGTTTTGGTTGGTATTGTCTAACTTTTGAAGCTTAAGAATACATCTAATTACTTGTATGGATATGTTGGACTCTTTCCAAAATAAACTATTGCTATAGGTTGTATATTCTTTCTTACTAATTGATGAGCGTGCTTTGTTATGTATTTATATTTCTTTTATATATATATATAGATCCCTTGCTTAGTCCCAAGATGATATAGGGATGCCCTAATATGCACCTGTCGTATCTCGCACTTGCCGTTTGAATAACCCGTTTCGTCGACTCTCGCTACTTCGTCACGACGTTACGACGTCTCTTCGAGGCCGATGGCTCGTCTCCGTCTGCTTCTGTTGCAGCTCACGTCTGCGTCCAGCTCGTTTGCGTTGCTCTTCTTCGCTCGCACAACTTTGTCGACTCTCGCTGCTTTGACGCTGCACAACGTCTACTTGTTTCAACGCTGCGCCTCTCCCTACCCGACAAAAAGGTCGACAGATCTGCTGCTCTGATGACGCTCCCTTCTTCTTTGGTTGAATCTGACAAAGTCTCCTTTGCTCACGTGGTGGGTAATCCTTAGACGAAGTCTGCAGTTGTCTCCCCCCCCAAGCTATAAGGATTGTCGTGATGGTACATGTGATTGCCCTTTTGTTAAGAAGGGAAACAGGAAAAGTGAGAAAGTAACAATCTTTTTTTTTTTACTTAGAAATTTTAACCCTGACAGAGATTCAAGTTTGCTCTTATTGAAAAATTTCAGTGGGGGCACCCACCTATGGAAGTTATCAGAAAAAATATTAATGATCTTAAACTAGTAGACAAGTGGAAAGTGAGACTCATGAATGAGAGACATGTGTTGATTCAACTAATCGTGCCCGAAGACTACACCTGGACTTTCTCCAAGAAATATCTTAATATTGTAGGCAAGTCAATGAAATTACTCAAGTGGTCTCTTGATTTCGACCAAAATCATGAAACTCCCACTGTACAGGTATGATTTAGTCTACCTGGTCACAAACTGCATTTTTTTCATCATCAGGTTCTCTACTCTATTGGAGTCATTCTTGGGGATTCTTTGAAGCTAGATCTACCTACTTTCAATTTAATCAGATCTTCTGTGGCCAGAGTACTTGTGGAAAGATACCTGTGGCCAGAATACTTGTGGAAAGAGATATTACTTTACCTGATGTTACTGAAGTCTGGCTGAGCATAACTCATAATGGATATTGACAACAAGTCGTCATGGAACACAAACCTCCTTATTGTACTCACTGTAAGGTGTTTGGGCATACCCTTGATAAATGCCACAAGCTCCATCATAATTTGAAATCTAAGATCCAAGTGAATAAGGATGGATCTAACCCCACTGCTCTAGACATATTAGTTCTACCTGTGGAGGACACTACCACAAGACAGGAGGTGTCTGTTGCCCTTGTGGACCCCTCCACTGACACTTTTGTTACTGCGATTGATGTAATGCTGGATGGCTCTGCGGAACCCCTCCACTGACACTTCTGTTACTGCGATTGATGTAATGCTGGATGGCTCTGCTGGGTAACTTACACCTTCAAACCCTATTGAAACAACACTGAAAAACTATTACCTACAAAGGATAGTGTTCAGATTAATACTTAGGAGAACCTCGCACCTCCCTATCTTCAAGAAGTATTCGGTGTAGAGGCAACTCATACTTCACATTTACTAGAACCTATTGTGGTAGAACGGTTGGTAATTTTTCTGCTACAGCTCTACCGCCTCATCAGACTGATTCTTCGGATGAGGAATGACAGTTTTACACTTTCAGGAGAAAGAAGAAGAATAGAGATCTACTTGAGCTCAAGAATCTTATGGATGATACTTTGGTTACTTCGGGTAATGGTACACACCTTATCAATTTGTTAGCTGGATCCCTTCCGAGAACTAGAGGTAGAGGCATGACTAAATTGGGATGACCCTCATTTTTTTTGCGCCCTAGTGGTTTTTTGTTTTTCTTTTTGACTTTTTTGTGTGTTGTACTGTATGGGTTGGGTGCCTATTTGGGCCAATTCAAACTACATATTGTCGGCGCTTAAAATGGGAAAAAGTTAATGTTTGGGGGTCGCCCGTAAGAAGCTGTCGGTCGCCGGAATCGAAATCTCGTCAAAATGTTGAAGTGGAGACCATTACCATTAATTCATGAATGTTAGGTACCTGTTAATATCATGTTAATTTGAAGTTTTACTACCTAACAAAAAAACAGGTAAGAGATAATGCATCCATTTTGAACGTTTCTTAAACTCCCAGTTTGCTATTTCTTTCTTTATATGCATTTCTTTTATGAGGAACATAGCATCTGTTAAGAACTTGGATCTGTGGATCATGATCGTTAGCAGAATTCTGAAGTTCATGAAGTGTGCAATCTTTATAAGTACTGATTCAATTCTCTAAACACAAAAGCCTAGAAGGGCCTGATTTGAATATTCACATCAATCTCTCAAAAAAAAAAAAGAAGATGGTGAGTGCTGCGTTTTTTTTATTTTACTCAGGCTTGTTTCAAGTAAGATGAGTACTAAGAAATCATTAAAGGATTGTGGTTTTTAAAAATATATGCTGATTTAATTTTATGTTATTTGCAATTTCTTAATGATCATTTCTGACTGGATTTTAATTCTTGCTGTCTTTGTTGAAGGTTTCTTGGTTGAAGCAGCATTCTGCTCCAACTACGGGCATTGGCTTCTCACCATCTAGTGAGAAGGTTCTTTCTACTTTTAAATAATCATTTTGTTATTTTTATGAAAATATATTTCATTGAATAGATGGATCTGTTGGGATATTCTGACTAGCGGTAATCAGAAAAAAGAATATTGTATTTTTTTGGTCGTTTTAGCTCGTGCAGAAACATATTTACAGTTACCTCGCATACATTTCTTTGCTACAGATAATTGCTAGTGTTGGTTTAGACAAGAAACTGTACACATTTGATTCAGCCATGAGAAGGCCCACATCATGTATACCATATGAAGCACCGTTCTCTTCGCTTTCTTACAGTGATGATGGAAATATACTGGCTGCGGGAACAAATGGTGGACTAGTAGTATTCTATGATGTTCGGGGGAAACCTCAACCATTCACAATTCTTCATGCTTTCAATAGTTCTGAGGTAGCATGCTCCTTTAATAGTTTTTGCTTTAATAGATTATAAATGCCTGATGAAGTTTTGCAATGTCATCACCCTGCTCAAACAGGATTAATCTCTCATGTTTCAGTTCTTAAACCATGGTAATAAGTGCTGTTATGATAAATCACACTGCTCACAATGCATGCAAACCGTTAGCTTTTTGTGCTTGGCTGTTTCCATGCAATCCTTCTCACCTTTTTTGTTTGGTGGAGCGTCAGATTAATGCCTACCGTTAATTATTTTCCTTGTGGTGTTTAAGGGTTATTCCAAAAGTGTGGAAATTATTAGGTTTTGATGGCTTTTGAACATTTTAGTCAAATTTATGATCTTTTGGATCTGTGGATGCTTTAAATCTTGTAGAAGAGATTGTTCTGTGATTCAATTAGCGAATTTAACATGCTTTTTTAAAAGAAAATATTCATGAAAAATGCTTCAATATTGAATACTTATTTATTTCTAAAACCTGAAAACTTTTCCTTGATTGGTAATTTTTATTCATCCTTTTTTATAGAAGGGTACTGGAGGGCAGTACTGTGAGTATTGCTTTATATTGGATTATTCTACTTGGCACCACTTCGATGCTTTATCATTTTTAGCGTTTTTAATTGGGTATTGTAAACGAAAACACTGGATTTTGTAGTGTAGGTTATGAAGATGAAAGTATAAAGCTCTCACAAATTGAAACATTAAAGATGGAATTGGAATGATATAGATTTCTGCTTCAAAATAACATTTGAAGCATTTCAGACAGGAACCTGGACTGAAAGTCCTACTCGTTGACATTTTCAACTTCTTAAAGTCTCCTTTCACTGTTTGAGGAAAAAAGCCTTTTTTGCTAAAAAATGCAAATAAAAATCGACCTTATATTGTTCCTACTGTGCAATATGACAATTATGGTTTCTTATTCCGTTTCTACAGAATTTTTGTCTTTGCTTTCATATCTCATTTGTGGAGTCTATCATGCTTTTTGCTAGGATATAAAATCAACATGGTCGCCTGTGTTGATAAATCATTCATGATGTAGCATCATATGCTAATATATGATATGGTTACACTTAAGCAATGGTGTTGTATGAGTTTATTTTTTAAAGTTACTTGTTAGGTTCCTTTTCTGCCACAGTATGTGTCAAGTAGTATGTATGGCTTTAGTTATTGCTTGAAATTCTCAGCTGATAAATGTCGCCCAAAAATCTCTTTTGCCTGTATAACTGTCTGTTCAATCATAGTATTAATCTTTATTCTTTGTTTTTTTTTCCAGTCTGTTAGTAGCTTATGCTGGCAGAGATTGAAGCCCTTTATTGTAAATGAAAGCAATTGCACTGCTGAAACTGCTCTCCTTGGAGGTGCTAGTGAAGATTCAATTCTGATGCCAGATCCCCGGCCCTTTATGGCAGCTTCAAGCTTCTCCTCAGCTAATACAGTGTCTAGTTTCAACGCTTCACTGGCAGCATATACTAGTGGATCAATTTCAACCACATTAACTTCTTCTGCAGAGGAAACTCCTCTTAGAAGCAGCTTATGGCGGGGTGGATCTTTGGCAAAGCTTCAAGCACCTCGTGGTAACTTCAATCTTAAGGATGACATGGATGTTTTCTCTCCTCTTGTGGATGTCCAGCCAATTACGCCATCTCTTGGCAGTTTGTGGGATGATCATGATGAAGAAAAAAAGGATTCAGTGCTCCTCGATAAGAAATCTTTGGCATTGCCAAGTACTTCAAGGAGATTTCCATTTACAGATGGTGACTCTGATTCCCATAAAATATCGGATTGGAGGTCTAGCATAGCCTCAAAACTGGCAAGTTACTGTCTTTTGGCCCAAGTTTATTTTACATTAAAATATTTAACGGGAATTTACTTCATTTTAATTAATAATATTCTGCTATTTAATATGAGGCTCGAGCCATTTCTTGCTTTTTAAGAAAATATTGATGAGACATGTCATTAGCCACTATTTTTCTATTTTCTTTCTATGATTTCTTTTCCGCTCTTGAAGTTATCCTAACATGGAAGTCCAAAAGTTCTTACCGCACCTTTTTTGGGCAAATTTTCCAATGACCCTAGAAGAGGCTGCAGGGCACATTTTTTTGAAGAAGGATCCCTAGTACCTCCTGCTTCTTTGCTCTAGCAATGGTTGTTTGTGCATAGCATGCCCTTGACACCCGCATTTGTGGAGATCTCCACACATGCTTTAGCTGTGGTTTTCTGTGTGCAACTTGGCCGTGCTGCTCTAGGTTGCATTGTCCAGTGTTTGCCCAAATTTCTGCTCGGCATGGCTGCCTATTGCCCGTCCAGGTTGGCACTCTGTCGCTTGCCCTTTTGTTTGCTTCTTAGCGCTCTTTGTTAAGTGTGCCTCCTACCATTGGTTTCCTACTTTGGTGGAATTACTACTCCATTAGGAATGCCACACTCCTTCGACCCAGGTCTAGAACTTTTAAATCTTCTTTCCCATTTTTTGTGAACTTCTGTTTCACCAATCATTTTTGTCTCTATGTTCTCTCTTTTCTTTCATCTCAGATTGATGCGTTGCCTATCATTTCACTTTCCAACCCGAATCAATTTTTTTTGTTGTCGATTCTTCAACAAGTTTCTCTGCTTCCCCCTTCTTCCCTTAGTAGGGTTGCGGTTGAATCTTCTATTAGGTCATCTCTCCGTACAACAATTTTTCCACCTACCTAACACCGTCGCCCTTTGCTGATGTTGTTGATGGGCTAAGTAATAGACTTCATCCATTGACCAATCATTTTCCTGCATTCTTCAATCAAGATGGAATACCATTATCTCATAAGCGTTCTTCCACATATCAAGGCAAACCGACTCTCATCTCTTTTGATGATGAGATCATTGAACTTACTAAATCTCTTTGTTTTTTTTTTAATTTTTATTTTTAGCACACTCTCTAGGTTGTCTTAACATGGATATTATCCGTAGCTTTTTCTCATATTTAAAATTGATTGGCATCAATTCTCTTTGGCTCGTGGATTCTCTTCATATCATAATTACATTATCCTCAGAAGTAAGTTAGGTCTTTTTCTTTGGGCGGACCTATTATGTTAGTGGCTTCCACATATATATGCTAAAATTGTCTTTCTATTTTTTCTCTTCTGAGAAACTATCAATTGTTTTAGTTTGAATATCATTCCCGTCTTCAGCTATGTTATTTCAACCAATCCTCACTATATTTATTATGATCAACGTTTAGCAAACCCTTTCAAGCAGATAATGCTATTGCTTGTTTTTCAAGACTTGCACTCGCTCGTGTGCTTGTTGAGCTAGTTGTTACTCATCATTTGGAAAAATTATGTTTGGATTCTCCTCTTCTTGCAGGTTTTGGCAGAAAGTAAAATTTGATGGCATTCTATCTTATTGCTCATCTTGTAAAATTTTTTTGCCATAATTTTGCCCAAAGCTTCAAGGCTCGTGCAGAATTAAGGAAAGTAAATTTTCAAACACAAAGAGATACTACAACTGGATCCGAGCTATAACCCAATCTGCGATCAACTTATAAACCTTTCAAATAGATTAAGTATGCAATCAGAATGTGGGACCAATTTTTCTTTCAGATATTGAGGATCTTGTTCCTTATCATGTACTAATAGTTCTCTCTTCACCCCCACAACTTTTCATCATTCCAGATCCACTGTCTATTGCAGATTCTCTAACCTCTCGAAGTTGTGATCATAATGATGACCATGATGCTTTTCAATTATTTGCCTTAGATGAATTTACTCATAATATTGACTCACTTGTGGATAGAAGATTTTAGTTTATATTTACCCGGTAAGATAGGAATCAGAAGATGGTGTATCATCATTCCCCAACTTTCGACTTCAAGAAAGGAGATCAAATGAACCACTTTGTATGTTTAAGTATTTGATGATTTAGCTCGTTCGGTTTTTCTCTTTTTTTTTTCATACTAATGTAAATTTTCTTTTTCTCTGACATTTCTTGTTAAATTGCCCTTGTTATACTATATCATTTTATTGTTATAGTATTTTGGTTTTGTAAACAAAAGCTGTCACCTTTGTATGATAATTTTTTAGGCATTCATAGAAGAGGTCATTAATATAATGACAAATATTTGCCATCATTCATCACTTGGACAGGTCGATTTAGTTTTCTGGGTGATCTGTCAAACACTGAACATATTTGATACAAACTTATTCTCTCTTTACTTTTGTACAAAACTGTATGGAACTTGTTTTGTGGCATAGCCTTGTTAATGGAGCTTGTGAATGTGGATGTTAGTGCTTTGATATTTGCTTAACTTCTGTAAAATATCTACCAAGTCATTTGTACTTCTGTATTTTCTGATATCCATTCACATATTGCATTTCAGGATGATACTCTTGCTTCACCGCTGGTTTCCACACCCGCTGCTTCTTCAAAAAGTGAATCTTGTTTCTCGCCAACTCCTTCAGAAGCTTGGGGAGGGAATGGATTGCCCGGCAAGTTTACTCAAAATCATCAACCATCCTCTATGCTCTCTGGCCAATTGCCTTCTAATTCCTTGCCATCTGGCTTAACATTCCCAGTCTCGCAAGATATATCTTCGTTAACCAGCCAATTTTCCATGACTTCTTTGACAAATCCCACTTCAAGTTCTCTAAATCTGCAAAGCAAATCCGTGTTGAATAATGAGAAACTGTCTACTTATTTCGAATCTTCATCTGCTTATCATTCAACATCTGCTTCTACATCATTTGGTTCAAGACCAGTGACATCAAGTTCGTTCGAGCTCCCAGGATTAGTGCAATATGTTTTACCCAGAAGATCTACTGCATATGTTGATAGATTAAGTGCTGCATCATCCTTAAGTGATGGAATTAATTCTGCGACTAGTTCACCAAAATCAAAGAAAACAGGTGCAGAAACTCGAGAAGAGCTATTAAACAGCCTCATATCAAGGCAGGATGTGTCAACTGCGATAGCAAATGGCAGCCTTCCTGCAATCAATGTAAGGAGTCATTATCATTTGGGAATCACCACCCTTTTTTTATTAGTTGCATTCATCAATATCATATTATAATCAGTGACATAAAAATGAAAAAAAAATATTTTATGGATAAAGCATATCATATTATTAAGTACATAAAATTTTTTAAGTGTGACTTGGATATTTTAAAATACACACTTTCTATAAATGCAGAGTAACTGGAATGCACGCGCTTTAGGGACTTGTATGGTTCAATGCAAATATTGTGTTTGTTAGGGTACATTGAAGTTCATATGAATTGAATATTTTTTTAGTAAAAATTCATCTCTTTCTCTCTCTCTCTCTCTCTCTCATCCCTGTGATGGACCAACCAAGAGTGAATCTAAAGCCAAAGAGGAAGGTAAAGATAGCTTTGGATCCATAAAGGGGGAGGAGAAGGCAAAGATGTGATATGGAACGAGATGAGTAGTTGTATGTGGAGATGAGATCTAGCGCCGAATCTGTGGTGGAGATGTGATATAGCTGGTGGAAAAGAAAGAGCCAGAGCAAAGGAGGGGATGGCGTGTCGGTCAACTTTTCGATAGATATAGATTAGAAAATATGAACTATAAAAAATTATTTTTGAAATTTAATTTAAATATAAAAGAATATATATAGTTTGGGTTTTGAAAGTAGGTGTTTTAATTTTTTTAAAAAAAAAATGAGACCCAATGGATCTCATCAGTCCAATAGTTTGCATAATCGTGCCCGATACCGCGAATATTACACCTTCCCGAAGGATAAGTGTAGACCTCGGCGATAGACCCAATCCTGCAAACTAAGAGATTTGTGACACCCGTTTGGTCTGCGAACCTTTTATATATGACCGACAAATTCCCCTATCTAACACAAAGATTAAATAGGGTTTATTTTACCTGGGTTCCAAGTTCCCTATAGAGGCAAGCCCCTATAGTTAATTACATCCCAAATGACGGGAGTCACTTGAGAAAACTCTCGATAATGATCAATGGTTCTAGTCTTCAAGAATTCAAGGTTCAGGTTTTCAAGGTAGGACGTAGAAGGGCAAATGGGAGTGGCTCAAACATGAACAGTTATTTCAGGAGTCCAAAGGAAAGAAAA